GGGTCTTGAACCCGCAGGCTCAGGCAATCCACTCACCTCAGTCTCCCAAAGGCGCGGGATTACAGGCTGAGCCACCGAGCCCGGCTTGCATGCTTTGTTGAAGGAGTAAAAATTGGATAAAATAATAACCTAAAATGTGTGTTCATAAATCTTTCTTATGTATATAAAATGACTAGAAAGGTGCCTGATGCATAGTAAGTGAAACGATTTCAATTATTCCTATGCTTCTCCATAAAGTTGTGTGCATCTTTATTATATCTCAATATGACTTTCATCTCTTACAGTTGATCAGAAAATTTCTCTAAAAATGATGGAAAAAGTCGAAGATTTTACAGATGAGAAGTTCCTGTAAAATGAAGATGCCTGTTACCTGTAACTAAATTTGTTTATTTTAATATTTCCCAGTACTCTGTTGTTGACTTACAGATTCTGGTATTTTTTCATATATATTAATGATATCAATATTTATCAAATGCTCCATGTATTGCTATAAAATTAGCTAAGGCTTTGAAATGAAAATATAATACTATTTCTTGCTTTCAAATTTTATAATTTCTGTTGTTTATGCCAATAATATAATTCATTGCAGCAGTATTTAATTAACACAATATAGAGAGGTATAGACAGGCATAGCAAATCAGAGTAAAGCTTAGAAATGATCAGGTCATGTCTCCATCATATCCATTCTATAATTCTTATTTTACAAACTAAAATACTTTTTGAAGAAAAAAATACAAGCATGTATTTTTAAATTAACTGATTGAATTTTATTCTGAAATTTATCCTTCACTAATTTTAGAAGAAATCTATTTATTTATTTATTTATTTTTATTTTTTGCCAGATTAAATTTTCTTCCAGAAATATTTTAATAAAAATTGGCCATTTCCAAGAAACATCCACTGCATGCCCATCAATAAAAGAGAACCACTGACAAAATAGAAAATTTACCATATGGCTATGATTTAAAGAAAAAAAATGCAGACACTTGAGCACATCAGCAAAGTCCAATATTAAGGTCACATTCCTTTGTATGGGCTATGATTAGGAATCTGATTAGATACCAGAATAAAACTTAATACAAATGCTCAACTATTTAGGTCAAAGGACCTCTATAGCAGCATCTGTCTTCAAAGGCATTCCAGTTTGAGACTCAATTTTAGAATAAGGCATAACAAATGTAACAGAAGACATACAAAGTGATGAAAGAGGGACTCTACAATTCCCCACATACTCTGAACCTGATTAAACAAATCCAGATTTTTTAAAATTAGTTTTCTTTAAACAACTGCCAAGACTGGAATCAAATATAAATAAGAAGGCACAACAGTTTTGCTCTGTTTTTTTGTTATCTGGATTTTTGGAAATTTTTTTTTTACAAATACAAATTAAACATGAAAAAACTCTACCTCAAAAAAACTAACAGTTCAAGAAAAGCGTATCAGTTGCATCCTAGAAATTTAAAACCTATGACAATTTAAGTTTCAGTGGTAAAAACAGTAGGTTTTAGAATTCTTTTGTGATTATGTATCAAAAGGAAAAAACTCTATTAACATCTTTTATTCAGTTTTTAACCATACCAGTGAGAATTAAAATTGTCAAATTTTCCAATGGCAATTTCTCCACACCAGAAGGTAGTCATGAAACAATTTGGGTTTTTCCTGCCTTCAAAATGTTTATCAAATCCTGTATTTCTCATAGGCTTTTGAAACGTAGAAAATAAGTAAGAAATATTCCAATGAATGAAACATACCAAATGTCAGTAATAAGCAAGACACATTCTTTTGGGGAAATGGCTGTTTAAAAAAATCCAGTCTGTAGATGCAAAGCAAGAAAAATTCAGTCTTTTTCTTTCTTCTTTAAAAATCCATTACTCCTAAAATATCATTCCACAAAATTGGAAGTCAAGGACTAAAGTGGGGGGCGGTAAGGGAGCACACACGTTAACACAAAAAGAAGTAAAATTGTATAAACTTAAGCAGTTTATAACAGACTAGGGTCATACTCCAAGATACCAAAAGCTGGTTGAAGAAATTCACCATTTTGCAAGAGCTAAGGTTTGTACTGCTGCGTGAAGACTGGTGGAGAGCAATTCACTGCCGTGGAGCGATCCCCCGGCCCACTCCAAATCCTGGTTTCTGCACCATGCCTCCATGGGGAGGGCCTCTCATTCCACCACCCAGCCCACCTCGAGGGCCTCCAGATCCCCGAAGGCGGTTATCTCGACGGTCTCCTTCCCTGGCAGCTCGCGTCTTTTCTTTCACATTCAGACGGACCTCACCTCTGAACATGATAGGCCTGTTGCTAAGGACCTTTTGAACAGGTTCAGAATCGTCAAACACAACAAAACCAAAATCGGGTAATTTCCCACCGCTGTTAATGCGCAGCTTCACAACATTCCCATAATTCTGAAAGAAATCATTCAGCTCTGCTTTGTCCACTTCATGAGGCAGGTTGCCAGTAAAGAGCTGGTGACTGTCCGGGTGTCACACAATTCTTCGGGGTTCAACATCGCCTTGCTCACCAGACTCCCGGATTGGTCTGGGTCCCCTCTGGGGAGGAATATTTATTCGTTGTTCTTGCACTCTTTGATCCCTCTGAGGTCTCTGTGGTGGAATCTGAGATTCAGGCTTAGACTCTTGACGGGGCTGTGAAGCTGGCACTTTAACAACATGAGGTGGTATCCCAGTAACCAGAAGAGCTCCACTGGGTGGAAGGTTCTTACTGGTCACAGATGCCCAAGAAAACGTCCTCAAGTCTTCCTGCACTGTCTGAGCTATGTCTGCAGGTGCAGGAGAAGAGCTCTTCTGAGCATCCTCAGGAGAAGTTTCTTCTAAAACTGGCTCAGACTTTTCCTCTTGGATTTCAGATACAGGTTCCTGCTCTGGTTCTGGTTCAGGCTCAGGCCCTGGCTCAGCAACAGGCTCCTTTAAATGTTCTTCCATGTCATTACTGACAACAGTCTGATCATAGAAAGTTCCAGAATCATCAGGTACCACCTCAGGTGTTTGTTGTCTTTCTTCAGGTTCCTCTACTTCTTCCTCAGATTCCTCCTGAGGCTCAGTGACAAAGCCACCAAAGACCTCATCTTGGTATCTGAAGATATCATTGTGAACATAGAACTTATTTGCAACAGAGCCCTCAGGAGCAAGAACAAACGTCTGCATGAACCTCCTCAAAGCCTGGTTATTACTGGAGAGAAGTCCCATCACCTGGACCACCACACCATCATTCAGAGTGGCATGAGCATCAACATGGCGAATCTTGGTGTGGCAGTTGGTGAAGTTTTGTGACATAACTTTCCTATGGATTTCCTTCTGCCCATAGACTGCATCTGCTGGCTTTCCGTTTGAATCCAGTCCCCCATGGACATAAGACGAGTTCTTTCCATAAAATCTATGCAGCATGTCTGGAGCCTGGTTCAGCAGTGTGTAATACTGTCTCACAAATTCCCGCCCGACCAGCAGGGGACTAGGCTTCTCCATCACCATTGATTTGGTCAATTCAACCTGCATGGCTGGGCTGGAGAGGAACAAGCTCTGCTCCACAGCACTGAGGACAGCAGGAATCCCTCACGCAACTGCGTCCGCACACCAGAAATCTATTTATATTATGAAAATAAAATTGAGCTAACATATCCATTGATTTCACAGTTGAAAATGTTTAATTTTAGCCGGGCTCGGTGGCTCAGCCTGTAATCCCGCACCTTTGGGAGGCTGAGGTGAGTGGATTGCCTGAGCCCGCGGGTTCGAGACCCGCCTGGGCAGGCGAGACCTCATCTCTACAATAAATCAAAAAATTAGCCGGGTGTGGTAGTGCGCGCCTGTAATTCCAGTTACTTGGAAGGCTGAGGCGGAAGGATCGCCGGAGCCCAGCAGGTCAAGGCTGCGGTGGCCGGGAGCAGCCACTGCACTCCAGTCTGGGCGACAGAGTGAGACTCCAACTCAAAAAAATAATAAAAAAGAAATTGTTTAATTTTTATTTTAGTGTTCAATCAGAAAATTAGGATGATGTTAATCATAAAGTAACTTTTTGTTAGAAGAAATTACTGCTTTGCAAAATGATGATATATGCCTAATCTCCTATGCTAAAAGGTGAGAAGATTGATTCTAGTCATCTAAAAAATATTCTGGAAAACCTCAGCATTGGGCTCACAGATAATGAACTAGAGAAACTGCTGAAAACATTGCCAGTCGATGATGAGCCATATACATGTCTGTGGGAGCTTCTAAGGAGGTTGGATTTTGAACATGTTAATCTCTTCTAAAACTTGATAGAACATTTTTAAAAGTAAAATTTAAGCTACATGTAAAAATTATCAGTGTCACTTAGAGTTTAAAAGAGAAACCAAGCAACTCGTCAGATATAAGTTACCATTGGGGCTAATAAATGTTTATTGTGACCCCTCATGCCAATAATGAGCTTTATAGCATATTAAAGGAAAAGGAAGAGACATAACAGAGCAATGGAAGACATTAAAAGATAGAAGAGTTAAAAATATTTGTGTTTCAGTATAGTAGGCCCACTAGAGGGGGCAAGTGTATCATACTGAGAAAGATTGCTCATCCTTTTCCTTTTTTTTTTTTTTTGAGTTGGAGTCTCACTCTGTCACCCAGACCGGAGTGCAGTGGCCGCTCCCGGCCACCGCAGCCTCGACCTGCTGGGCTCCCAAGATCCTTCCGCCTCAGCCTTCCGAGTAGCCGGAATTATAGGCGCGCGCTACCACGCCCGGCTGATTTTTTGATTTATTGTAGAGATGAGGTCTCGCCGCCCAGGAGGGTCTCGAACCCGCGGGCTCAGGCAATTCACTCACCTCAGCCTCCCAAAGGTGCGGGATTACAGGCTGAGCCACCAAGCCCGGTTTGATTTTTTTTTTTTAATTGTAGAAATGAGGTGTCGCCAAGTTGCCCAGGCGGGTCTCGAACCCTCGGGCTCAGGCAATCCACTCACCTCAGCCTCCCAAACCGCGGGATTACAGGCTGAGCCACCGCGCCCGGCTTCTCATCCTTATTTTAATCGTTAGATTGCTCTTATTTTTAGGTCTTTGATCCATTTTGAGTTAATCTTTGTATGTGGTATGAGGTAGAGATACAAAAGACTGAATAGCCATTTACCTGTGGAAATCTGGTAGTCCCTGAACAATTTGTTGATAAGATAATTCTTTCCCCTACTGAATGATGTTAGCACCCTTGTTACGAATCAACAGGCCATAAATGTGAGGGTTTATTTACAAACTCTCAGTTCTTTTCCATTGATATATATAACAATGGGGTACTAACTAACAATGGGGTACTAACTTTTAGTACCCCATTGTTAGTTAGTACCCCATTGTTTTGATTACTGCACTTTTGTATTAAGTTTTGAAGTTTCAAAGTGTGATTCCTCCAAATTTGTTCTTTTTGAAGATCATATTGACTATTTGAGGTTTCTGCTTTGTCATGCAGATTTTAGGATAATTTTGTCAATTTCTGCAAATAAACCAGCTGGAATGTTGATAGACTTGCAAAGAATCTGTAGGTAAACTTAGAGGGTATTGTCATCTTCACAATATGAATATTATCTTCTAATCCATAAACATGGGATCCCTTTCCATTTATTTATTTCTTTTAAAATTTGCTTCTACAATGTTTTATAGTTTTTAGAGTATGAGTTTTTACTTTTGTTAAATTTATTCTTAAGCATTTTATTATTTTTCATGCTATTATAAATGGAATTGCTTTCTTAGCTTCACTTTTAGTTTGCTTATGGCTACTGGCATAAAAATACAATTCATTTTCTTTTTTGAGTTGGAGTCTCACTCCTTCACCCAGGCTGGATTGCAGTGGCACGCACACTCATGGCCACCCCAGCGTCGACCTTCTGGGCTCCAGCGACCCTTCCACCTTGGCCTTCCGAGTAGCTGGAACTACAGATGCACGCTACCACGCCCGGCTATTTTTTATTTTATTGTAGAGATGAGGGCTCGCCAATTTGCCCGGGCTGGTCTCGAACCCGCGGGCTCAGGCAATCCATTCGCCTCAGCCTCCCAAAGTGCTGGGATTACAGGTTGAGCCACCGAGTCCGGCCAATTGATTTTCATACAGGTAAAAGATTTTAACTTTCTATTTATAAAAGTATTTAATTCATGCTATTTTTATGTCTTGTTAGTCTTACTATTACATTAATTACGGCTTTTCTTACAGCTACTGGAAAGTTATATCATAATAGGTTGCTGAAGAGTATGAAGTTACTCAAAGGTAATAAACCCAATTAAAAGGCATATTATCTGAGTTCTCCAGACTTTCTATCATTCAATTATGAATCTTGGCCCTATATGATTTATTATTTAGATTCGATTCTTTTAGCATAATTACGGTTTATCTGCTATTATACCCTTTTACTTGGCAGGAAGCATAGTATATTCTTAGTTTTTTCAAACTTTTCTCAAACATTAAGGTCAAACCTAGCAGAACAAAATAAAGAACCAGACGTTATTAAAGAGCATTGGTCTGCTACAAAGAGAACTAACATGACAAGTCAATAAACAAAAACAGTTCTTTTTGTGTAGAGGATTTAAGTTGGTGTCTGCAGTTCGTTCAAGCCCCCAGTGCTGTTTAATGATGCAGGTTTGTCAACAAGAATGGACTAATGGAAGTAGATTCTATTGGCTTTCTATGTGGGCTGTAAAGTTGACAAATCTATTTAGGGTTCCGGCCTTGAGAAATGTAATGATACAAAGACATGAAATATATTTTATCTGTTGTCTTTGTTTTGTTTTAGTAATACATGGTCACTAACAATAATAATAATGCTTTTTAACATTTTTTTTGAGTTGGAGTCTCACTCTGTCGCCCAGACTGGAGTGCAGTGGCCGCTCCCAGCCACCGCAGCCTCGCC